GGCCTAAGCTTCTGACCAAACATGATGTGGTAGTGCTTGGGAAAGATGGCGGCAATCAGACAGTCAAAGACTAAGTTAATTGACACTCATTTCCGTCATGAAGAGGACTGCTGGCTTGAGTTCACAGACCACTCGCTACAGGGGCTAAAAAGCCTGACCTGATTTTTTGTTGTATTGACTGCTTTAAGAGATCCGCACACTGGTTTGTTTGTTTTCTCCAGCTCAGCACAACCTGAGTTATTATTCTGCAGCCTGTGGAGAATGTGCCTGCCGCCCACGCACGCGCCCGGCGCAGACAGAGATGGGAACACTGGCCAGTCGTGACTGCTGTTTCCCACCACCGATGCAGCTTCACCACAGTCAGAAAAATATATTTAGCGGGGCTAAAAGGAGCTGCAAAAAAGGGAAACTGTCCTGAGCTAGATAGGCCTGTGGAGGTGACTGAGAATGGCATCAGGAAGCTGGGATTAAAATAGGAAACATTTACATAGGATGCTGAAAGGAACAGGTCCCCATTTGTATCTGTTTGTCTCATCTGTCTCCCAGTGTTCGTCTCACATCTAATTGTATTTTTCTCACCTGTATCCTTGTGCTTGTTTCACATGATTTTTTTATGCTCGTTTCACCTGTTTCATTGTACTTCTTTCACTTGTTCCATCGTGCTTGTCTCACCTGTTCTTATGCTTGTTTCACCTGTTTCCTTGTAATTTTTTACCTGTCTAGCTTTGCTTATCTCATGTTTTTCTGTGCTTGTCTCTCTTCTGTTTTGTACCTGTCTGGATTTGCTTGTCTCACCCTCCCCCCCCCCCCCCCCCCCCTACAGTGCCCGTCTTACCCACCCCGCTGTGCCCGTCTTATAATGCAATACACAATTTCACATCATTCACCAGTCTATGCAGATATGGCAACAATTCGTGACAGGTCTGTTTCTATGATTTGATTTCTTGCATACAGATGTCATTTTCTCCAACCACTGTCCTTCTAGAGTAATATTCATCTACAACTATAAATTTGAATCTCTAAAGAATGCAATCTATCCTTAATTACATACCACAAACTCCAGCAACACTCCATTGGTTAATGTGTTTGTCTCTCCAGGTCTGTAGTATCTCACTCTAAACTTAATCTGTATACTAGAGAAATCCTCCTTCCCATTATAATTCATGAGCTTTCCCTCCCTGTGTGAGAAAATAGTTGCTGAGCTGGTCAGATGCTGCTTGCCATTGGAAGCTCTACCTCAAAGTCCTCTTTGTTCCTAGATAAAGAGCTTCAGAACTTATTGGCTGACCCCACATTCTCCTTTTTTTGGTTTGGTTGATTATTTGGATTTTTTTAGCTCCTGTTTCCTCCAAGGACTCATTGAAATGTGGTGATGCTTCAGTTTTTTGAAGAAGAAGAAACCGTGACCTCATTCGGGATTGATATTCTTCATTATGAGAACAAGCAGGTTCAGACCAGTTTGGCCCAGGGGGAGCGGCATATGGACATTTTGTGATTTATCATATGAGCAGTGTCTTTAAATAACCCACTGCGACGAGCGAAAAAGCTCCTCGCGTTGGCCTGTACCCAATGACCCTTCGGTGCACGCCAATGTGACTGGCCTGCTTCTTTGCACCCTTCCTGTGACAGACCTCTATGGCTTTGGTGAAGTGATCATGAGCCGCCTGCAGCTTCGGGGCTGTCGCCACCCTCTAAACGATCTCAGCGTCTCGTGGAGAGATGCTCTGCTGGAAAGCGAGAAAGAGCAGGGGCGGCGATACACAGCCTGCAGCTACGTTAAATGCCACAATGTCCCCATCCACAGCTATATCTTTCTTCTAAGCATAACCTTTCCATTACATAATAAGAGGCTTAACGCAGGCTGTGCAAGCACGAGCGGAAAGGTCAAGCCAGCGGTGTAGCACTGGTCACCTGCAATAACAGGGTCATTTATATAAAGCTATAAGGCTGAACAGCAAAGCTATTCCACATACACTTGCATGGCCATTTCTTTCTAAGCTCAACTGCATCCTTGTCCAAATAATCCAATTCTCTTGTTCCCAGACCATGTAATTAGTTATGCCAATGTTTTTATATGCTGTTGTTATGGTACTGTAATTCAGTGGCTTACTGTAGAGCTCTAGTATAAAATCCTGGCTCAAATGGAGCTGAGCTCCACAGGCTATAATAGTATTTTTCAGTCAGCTGCCACTGACAAGTAACTTAGCCAAGTGCTTCTAATTCCCAAGCAAACCTTCACTAAGTTAAAACATGAATTTTAATGTATCACCTGAGTTTGAATCAAAATCTGAATGAAAGGCATCACTGACCCAGAGAGTCATAACCGAGCTGTCAGGTCTCTTGCTCCTGTCCTTCCTAAATGAGCACGGTGCTTGTACCATCATCCTAGTATCAACTTTCAGAATCTTCTCCAATTAACCCACAGTTTGACTCTGTCCAATGCAGTAATACTGTAGATGATTTCCAGACATGTCCTGAGATCATGCGTGATCGCTCCTTTCCATACATATTCTCATGACTGCAAAATCAGGGCTATTATTTAGATTATATCCTATCCTGGGTAGTGGCCACAGACACACTGCCTTCACATTTCCTCGCTATGGCCTAATGAAGACAGTCTATAGTGAAACACAATGTAACAACTGTTTTACAGCTTTGATATTGATTATCTAGGAAATGTGTGCATATTTTTTAACCTCAAAAATAAAAGTGCACTTTCAACTGAATTTCACAGATTTTAAGGTTTGCTAAGGTTAGAATCACATATTACATTGTAGTATGATGATTGATATCTATGTGCCTGTATATAAGAGCAGGTGTTGATAGAAGACAGACATTTTTGCCCTCATATGTATGTTTGTATAGTGAAGTAATCGCTCAAATCCAGTAATGTTGTGCTTGGCCTGCTGAATACCTGCCATTGAAATTTAATAACAACAATCGAAACTTTATTGATCCACGTGAGGAAATTGTCTTTATACCTCCCTCAACTTGTTCTTTTTCATAGAGCAAGTCATCCATGAAGGGCAGCCACCCACAGTGGCGCCCAGGGAGCAGGGGGTTAAGGGCCTCACTCAAGGAGCCACAGACGTGCTGAGGCTGGGTTTGAACTGGCAACCTTTTGATTACCGGCACACAGGCTTAGCCCACTGAGCCACACACTGCCCCCCCCATAGACATGTGTCATTGTGGTGAATGCCCGTACGTGCATCCTACCCCCATCATGAATAACGTCTTCTCATTGGCTGGAAGAGGTGTGGTGTGCAATGTCTCTAGGCAGTCATCAGTCATAAATGAGATCACGGTTTATATGTATTTACAGCATTATATACTGTATGTAATATGACTGCAATGCAAAAGGTCCAAAAGACAATGCAATTAAAAGTAAGTCCAAATTCAACATTGCATTTACAGAATACCAGGAATGACAGTCCAAGCACAGTAAAACAATGGCATTATGACAAACAGCATGAGAGATTACGGATGCTTAGCTTCAGTCACCAAATCCTACACTCATTGCCATTGGTTCACTGAGAAAATGTTCTCGACATTTCTCTAATTTCCCCAGTGGTAGTTATTGCAAGTTTCAACCCAATTAATTTGCCCCTTGTTTAATTATGAGTTTGTGTTTACTAATTAGACATCAGTGAAGAACATATGACAGGGGGCAGCGTGTGCAGCCATCCTGAGCAGAAGCAATCTGTCCCACACTGCCTTCATGACTCATTGGCTCTGGAGACTGGGCCGCACTGCCCCAAACGTCCCAGCAGTGACCTGACCTTTCCGCAGAGCCCAGTGAGCTGTTTCTGTACTACGGCCCCCTGTCTGGCTTTGCTTCTAAAAAAGAAAAATCACAATTTTATGTCTTACGTTTTATGCTTTAGACACCTCAAATTGCTTACTCCCTAAATTATGAAAAGCCAGTACAAGCGTAGTGCAGAAAAGTCACGGTGTCAGCTATTCACTGAACTCTACAGAGAGGGCAAAAATCCATATAAAAATACACACAAACACACAAAACAAATATTAATTTAGATTAAACTATTTGGTCGGTGTTGTTCAGTGCTGCGTAAAATGTCAATGAAAGACTCAATGAACTGGAAGCACACTTGGGACAGTTCGGTCATGCACACGTCGACAAATAATGTACCTTTCAAAAAGGGAGATTACGCTTACGCATGTTAATGTGCGTCCCTGAAGTGCTCGCGCTGCTGGGGGAGTGAACTATCTGCAGAAAGCAGCGTTTATTCGGCGTTGTCTGTGAAATTGACGGTGCAGAAGGGAATCACACGTGTGAAGGAGTGCATTTCAATAACCATCTAACGAAATCAGTTTCCTAAGCTCTATTAAATAATTTATGTTGATCAGGGCAGATAAAACCTTCAGTCAGAAACATTCTGTTTATGTCATTATACAGGTGAACTGTCTTATGGTGCTACTTGGCCTTCCTGTCCTTGTTTTAATACTTAGTCAAAGTATACACGACGCATAATATGGTTTTGTAGTGATTGCTATCAGAACGCCTATTTTCAGAATAATCCAGTTGTCTACAAATAAATAATAAATGTCAGTCACGTAATAAACAATGGCTACATCACACATTTATACACCGTGGTAAAACATTGACTTATTTCTGCTATCGCATTGCATGCACTGTCATGTTTGTCATTTTGCATGCAATACAAATCCATCTACCCGCTGAGAACCCTGGGGTACGTGCGTAAAATCCCACCCTACACACACGATAACGAACGCGTTAGGCAGACGTGAGACGTACATGCCACCTGCAGCGTCACAACGTGTTTCATTTTTCTTCCTGTGTGGGGGGAGTTTCAAGCGATGTGTTTAAATAAACCAATTTTTACAGATGAAATTTAAGGTTTGAGGTTTGAGTGTAAATAAGAAAAGTAAAAATTAAAAAAAAGGAGTAACAGAAGAATGATTTTAAAAAAGCAAATAAATGGTAGATGATATAACATTTTGCCTGTGCAATCACGTACCACACAACAGCTGCATCCAGGCACAGGTCTTGTAGACAGTGGCGGTGTTGCAGAAGAAGAAGAGAGCGAAACAGGCGATGCAGCCCAAGATCAGAACCATGGACAGCAGAACGAAAAAGGAGGCCGCTTTGAAAGCGCCCGAGGGTATGGAGCTGAAGTCGGCGAAGGTGCCCTGGCAGGAGAGCTCCCTGCTGGGGACGCCGTTTCCCACGCAGTAGTGGAATAAACCGAAGTAGCCCGCTTGCGGCGTGTTCAAGCTGTCCCCGATCCAGTAGGGCTGAATGAAAACCACCACGTTGATGATGGCGAAGCAGATGGTGAATATCGCCCAAAGTACCCCAATTGCACGGGAGTTTCGCATGTAGTTTTCATGGTAAATCTTGGAGGCTTCTTGCGAAGGCAACATTTTCCCAATATCCTCCCGTCTTTGTTTCTCGCTATCGGCCTCTTCAAACAAGCCTTCGTTTAGTTGATCGAGCTATTAACCTGTAAACTGTTCTAAAATTAAACAAAACTGTCCTCTTGCTTTTATTACTGTAGTGCTATGTGGATTTTTTTTCAGACCTAGCAAAAATTGATAGCACAACCACCCGCATATGTTATTCCCTATAACTAAAAATTAGTTAATAAATATCAAACTACACGCATTTATTAATCGACACAGTCAATTAATGTATATTATAAACACAGTCAAGCGAATTAATACTGATTGGAAAAATACTATAAGGATTCCCTTTCCCCATTTAAAAGAGGCAAGAAAGCGCCAGATGCTTCAAATAACAGTGAGTACAAAAAGGTACAACTATAGTAGTAATGTTTCACAGTCAAGTGGTCAAGACACGGTCAGCAGAACCCCGTGTACCTGTAAACGACAGCTGTCCCTTTTGCTTTCCATCCGAAATAACGCCAAAGACGAAGATACTGTTTCTGGATGCCGCTGATGAACGATCCACTTTCAGGCTGAGATGCAGCTTAACTCGCGGCAAGGACATCGGCGTCGGGCTCGATGAAGAACCGCTGTGATCTGATTTTTTATTTTTTTTTCTGATAGCGAAAAAAACACTTGATTAATTAAAATAATGTTAAATGTGACCTCTGTATATGATGCTGCCGAGACTCCATAATTATGTTTCTTCCCTTTCCCTCGCTCGTGTCTCTCTCCTGCGCGCTCACGCAGAGTGCGCTGATGAGGGCGCGTTCGTGTGTACTACATTGCAGAAATTTGCATCTGTATATAAGCTCCCAGCTAATTTTATATCTCATATGTCCCGGGCTCATTTATTCATTAAATGTAATTGAATACAATCACGTAGTTTTATGTATAATTTATAAGAAAAAAAGTCACATGGAAAATGATCCGTGGCAAAATGTTTTGATTGAGAAAAAATAAGGTTACTTTTTTAACACGTCCGTAGGTAGAAATCCGTTTTGATCACAATGTATGCCAGAATTAGCCATGGTGCTGACCTCTAAAAACAGTGCCACACGATTTTAGCAAATCACAAAACAAACCACAAACAACGCTGTTGTTTATTTGTTTGAAAGGTTAAATAATTCTATATTTACTCACTGATATCATATTTACTCACTGAAATACTGAATATTAAGTGAATACATTCCCACAGAGTATCTGGCAGCCCGCAGGGTAAGAGGCTGTTCTCCTGGGGACGAGCCTGCAGTTCCTGCAGGTGACCTGCAATATTACAACAAATATCCCTCACACATCCACACCAATCACACACAATTTTATTTTACAGGAGGAATTTTAAAGTTTTGGTATAAGATTTATAAGTATAATGCATTCAAACTAGGAAGTCAAATTTAATTAGGTCTACGTCTCTTAATTAACAAACTTCTCTAAACTTCCATGTACTTTATCTCCAAAACAATGCTGTCCAGCATAAAAAATACATTATTTTGATTCTTAGTTTGTGTATGCTTATTGTGAAGTATCATAACAATCTTCTGATGATACACATAGTTTATGGAAGTGTTGTGCTTATTACATTTATAATAAACACTAAACTCCTACTTTTGTGACCTGCGCGAGCGAACGAGCAGGGAGCGGAAAAGCAGACGAGGGGAGCCGTGAAGACGGGTAAACGGGATTTTAATAAAGCAGACAAGGAGCAGCACAGGACTAATGTTAATGACGGACCTGGGGAAAAAGACTTGAACGCGGATTAAATACACAAGACAAGCAGAAAATAACAGGCAACAGGTGATCACAATTGGGTGTAGCACGTGTACTGTAGGTAATGAGGGGGCGTGGCACACACAAGGATCGTACGAGCAGGTCATAACACCTACCATGTTTACGCTCAAATCTTTAAAATAGTAGCAAACATCAACTTTTGTTTTACAGTCATTGGACTGTAAATACATCTAGTCCCCATCTACATTCAGCAGTTTATAACTGTTTTCTTCAGGAACCTCTAATCGTGGTTTTTACCTTTCCGTTAATAATGTCTGCCATATATGAGGCCTTGACTATCCTATCCACTGCCAGCTTCAGCTAGACAATGGAACCTATAGTATCTTTCATATAACACGAACACAGAAATGATCCAAGCCAAAGCTCTTTTAAATATTTTTTGTATTGTTAATGTTGCTGATTGCTAGCAGAATTTATATTACAGTTTGTTGAGTTTGTTGAATCTTTCTCTTTATGGAAATTCATTCTGGATATACGGAGATTCATGGTACTTTAGCTAATACTTGTATATATAACAATAGAGCTCATTTTTCAATTAATTTACATATGAATGTCACACCCAACGGTGTGCACTACTGAGCGTTCTCTTGTCTGTTGTCTCTCCCGCTTGCCCTGCCCTGCCGTCTCGCTTACTCTGCCTCCCTCTACGTCCCTGCCTGCCCTGCTTGCCCTCATCGTCCTACCTTCCTGATTTACCCTCCTCGTCCTTCCCATCCTCTTGTCACCTCGTCTCATCCCTCCACGTAGGACTGACCTATCAGGATAATGACCCATGGACTCGGACTCAACCATTCTTTTGGATTTCCCTGTTGGCTTTTGGTGTATCCGATTATCTCAATAAACAGCGCTCGCTCCGCATTCAGGGGTCTGGCTCTTCCCTGGTTTCTGGGCACGACAGAATACTTCGCCTCTTCACCATGGACCCCGCGGAGCATTCACGGCTGCAGCAACAGGTATATCAACTTACCATGCTCGTCACCCAGCTCCTGGGGGAGCGAGCGTCTCAGGCAGCTCTACCTGCTTTGCCTCCCCGAGTGGCCCCCTCCGTACCCGTGCCGATGCCCGAGAAGTATGACGGCAACCCGGCAATGTGTAGCTATGCCGTGCTGTGCCTCCTCAATCGAGAGCCCCGAGCTATTCAAACAGCCAATAGTCCAGCTAGCTCGCTGTATCCCCATGGTGATGCCAGAGAGAGTCAAACCTGAGCTTGACTGCATGCAAAGCATGGACACCATAACATCAGTTATCAAGCCTCCAGATGGGATCTTATTCATGGTAGCAACATGTAATAAAGATGATGAGCAAGTTAAATTATGTGTCCATCTAAAAGACCTCACACATCCATCAGAGGACAGCCCATATCTATGTAAGTAGAGGCTCTGTCAATACCCAGGCTCGTTATTTGTCACAGGGATTGGTGGGACCACCCTCCACTGCTCAGGTGAAGGTGGAGGGGAAGGTCTGCAAAGCTGTGCTTGATAGTGGATCTTAGGTGATGATTATTTTTGACATTTAGCACTTAGCACACGTTCCGCTGTATCTATGGGACTCTGATAACATTTTTACCCCCACGGAGGATATCAGCAGATGCAGTTGGAGTTTCCCGGAGAGGGTGCAGTGGATAGAAGCCCCATCACCATCCTTGCTCTGGTTTACTCTGATTCACATTGTTCAGAAAACAGTCCTGTATTGTTGGACACTAATGTGAATATGGTGCGTCTTTGCACACTCGCTCTCAGTTATGGTATTTCTCTAGGTCCAAAATATTGCATGGCTTGTGGCAGCACTGCTCCACGATTCCTCTCTTCAGCTTCATCTTTACCTGCTCTTTGTACCAGTACGGTAAATGATTACATATTGCAGCAGCTATTACAAAATGCAGGGAAATGTATTCGCATACTGTGTTCAAGCTGTCTGCTGCAGTTGGCTTACCTTGGCTGCGACTATATCGTCGACCGCAAAGTGAAAGATGACGGCTCCCATAACTTCACAATGATAAAGGAATTTGCACAAAATTGGCATTGCCGTAATGGCCCATCATGCACTCTAGTTTTTACTTTAGATGCATTCTATTATATTTAAGCTTTATAAACTGAATTCTTCCATCCATCAATCTTTTAACCTCTTATCTGGCTCGGAGTTACGGAGCCCATCTCAGGCAGGATATGAAGCATGACTTGGGTACACCCTGGATGGGATGCCAATTACTGAGACAATCACACAACTGAATTTTCATCATCATTCTCCAGTCATGATAAACTAAATTATTATTAGGAATAATTTAATATAACAACTATGACATTTTAAACAGAGGCTCCGGACCCCCCCCCCCGTGACCCTGAATAGGATAAGCGTTTTCAGAAAATGGATGGATGGATGGACTTTTTAAACAACTGCTTTTGATTTTTAAATGAATTATTACTCATTTCTAGTCATTGAACAATGAATTAAACAACTCATTAATCATGACAAGTTATGAGTAAGAAAACACCTGAGCAATGTATCCTGCACAACGGTCAGCTTGGAGAGGCTAGTGTTTATTAGACAAGGCAGGTGATACAAGTCAGCAAAAGGGTTAGGGTTAGGGTTAGGGTTAGGGTGGGGGGAACCAGGGAGAGGTAGGGTTAGGGTTAGGGTTAGGGTNGGAGCGAGCGTCTCAGGCAGCTCTACCTGCTTTGCCTCCCCAAGTGGCCCCCTCCGTACCCGTGCCGATGCCCGAGAAGTATGACGGCAACCCGGATCACTGTCAGGCATTCTTAATGCAATGCGGGCTTTACATCGAGGAGCACCCCGAACGTTTAACAGAGGAGACAGCCCGGGTGCATTTTGTGATCTCTCTGCTTAGCGGTCAGGCATGCGACTGGGTGACAGCTCTCTGGATTGACGACAGCCCGCTCCTCGATTCGGCACGTGATTTCCAGCAAGCCTTTAAAGGGATCTTCGATCACCCCGCCGTCGGACGCATCCTTGCTTTTTCGACTTAAAGCAAAGAAACCACACGGTCGGCGAATTCGCCCTAGAGTTCCGGACTCTCGCAGCGGGGCTCCGCTGGCCGGAGGACTGCCTCCACATAATGTACCGTCACGCTCTGAACCCGGAAGTTCAAGATGAACTGACATCTCGCGGGTCCGGGCTGTCGTTCGAAGATTACATTAGGCTTTCTGTCGATCTGGACAACAGTATCCGGGAGTGTCGTCGCTGACACCCCCGCCTGACTGCGACGCCCGTTCCACTGCCTGTCCGGGAGGAACATCCGGAACCCATGCAGCTGGGACGCATCCCGCTGACCTCAGCTGAGCGCCGCTGGCGAGCTAGCAACGGGCTGTGCCTCTACTGTGGAGAGGCAGGACACCTCCTGCGCACTTGCCCCGTCCGACACATGTAATGGTAGGCTTGTCTACTTTAATGGGAATTTCACTAGCCCAGGTGACTGTGCCAGTGGTAGTAACCTGTGGGGGAATAGAACGTCATACGCGTGCTTTGGTCGACTCGGGGGCAGTGGGGAACTTCATGGACCTGGCATTAGCCCGCAAGCTCAGAATTCCTTTGCAGGTCCTCTCCAACCCCATTGCGGTGCTAGGGGTCAGTGGAGAGCCGCTGCTAGATGGTCAGGTGAGCCACCATACTGGCCCAGTTAAGGTGCGGGTCGGTGTGTCCCATGTCAAGACCCTTGATTTCCTGGTTCTCCCTAGAACAAAGGACCCCCTCATCCTAGGTCACCCTTAGCTGAGGGATCACAACCCCAGGATTGACTGGAAATCCAGTGAGATCACCGCCTGGTCATCCCAATGTCTCAGGCAATGTGTAGCTCTGCCGTGCTGTGCCTCCTCGATCGAGAGCCCCGAGCCCGAGGGCCTCACCCAGATTCCGGCGGACTACGCAGACTATCAAGACGTTTTCAGTAAGGCACTCTCCTTCCGACTCCCCCCGCATCGAGAGTGTGACTGTGCTATTGACCTCCTCG